AAAAGGATATTATAAGGCTAGGCACATATGGCTCATATCTGTAATCCTAGCTACTTAGGAAACAAAGATCAGAGGGTCTCAGTTCAAAGCCAGCCTGGGCAGAAAAATTCATAGGACTCTGTCTCCAATTAACAAGCAAAAAAGCCAAGTGCCAGCTGTAAGTGGAAAAGCCAAGCAAGGGCATGAAGCCCTGAGTTCAAACCCTAGTATCAGTGTGTGCGTGTGCTCTGTGCATCACCTTTATAATAACAATAGATATCAAGTAGGTATTTCTTGGTATTCCTTTTATGCCGTCCCTTCCTTCTTGTTTGAGATGGTCGTGTAGAGATAATGCCTGGGGTAGGGCAGCCTCTTGGCGCACAAGGCCACGAGCACGAAGGCAACAAGTGTATGTGAGATGGGCTGCTCCCGAAGCAAACTCAGTATCAAGCATATTGTGTAAGCTACTGCTAGCAAAACTGGGCTGCTGGCCTCTAACTCCCTCCTAAGTGACCAGTGTCCTTCCATCACCGTCCGGGCTGTGTGAATGGGCACAGGTCACATGCCAGCATGCATCATTGCCTGTCTTACTGCGCCCCCTGTTTGGTCTGGTCATGCCTTACCTCCCTGTCCACCCCAGGACCTCTCCTGTCCTGGAAGGGGTCTTCTCTGCCCTGAGGGTATGTGTTAGTTAGCTCCCTGTTGCTGTGACAAATTTCTGAAGACAACTTAAAGGAGGAAAGTTTTTACTTTTTCTTCTCAATACTGGAGTTGATCTTTTTTTTAGGCAGGTACTCTACCACTTGAGTCACACCCCTAGCCCTTTTTATTTTATTTTTTTTCAAATAGGGTCTTGTGTCTATACTGGGGCTGGCCTGGACCTCAATCCTAATTACACTTGTTGGCCACCACATCCAGGTTTTATTGGCTGAGATGGGGTCTCTCTAACTTTTTGTCTGGACTGGCCTTGATCTATTTTTTTTTTCCAGTCCTGGGGCTTGAACTCAAGGCCTGCACACTGTCCCTGAGCTTCTTTTGCTCAAGGGTAGCTCTACCACTTGAGCCACAGTGCTACTTCTGGCTTTTTCTGTGTATGTGGCACTGAGGAATCAAATCCAGGGCTTCGTGCATGCTAGGCAAGCACTCTACCACTGAGCCACCTCCCCTGCCCTGGCCTGAACTGCATGCTAGGCAAGCACTCTACCACTGAGCCACCTTCCCCGCCCTGGCCTGAACTTCCTTCTCCTCCTCCTCCTCCTCCTCTTCCTCCTCTTCTTCCTCCTCCTCCTTCTTCTTCCTCTTCCTCCTCTTCCTCTTCTGTCAGTCATGGGGCTTGAACTCTGGGCCTATGTGCTGTCCCTCAGCTCTTCAGCTCAAGGTTAGTGCTCTACCACTTGAGCTACAGCGCCACTTCCGGTTTTCTCCTGGTTTATTGGAGATAAGAGTTTCACAGAGTTTCCGGGCTGGCTTTGAACCACAATCCTCAGATCTCAGCCTCCTGAGTAGCTAGGATTACAGGCGTGAGCCACCAGCGCCCGGCTCCTTGCTGGATTCTAAACCAACAAAATTGCTATTGTGTGTGCTGTTTGTTCCTGGTGAGAAGGCCAGATCTTTCTGCCTCCTCTGCCCTGTGGCTGGGAAGACTTCAGTGCTGCTAGGACCCCTGAGAACCTGTGCTGTGACCACTGCGCCCAGCACCTAGGAAGAGTGAGTCCACCAAGTCCCTGAAGAGAAGGCTGGCTCCCTGTTGGTGGAGCCATGCCCCAAAAAGAGGTGTTTGGTGAAGGCTTGCCAAGTGGAGGGATGGGGGGACGGATGGGTGGAGGGATGGGGGGATGGATGGGTGGAGGGATGGAGGGATAGATAGAGGAATGGAGGTCTGGATGAAGGGATGGCTAGAGGGATGGATGGAGGGATGGGTGGAGGAGTGGAGGGGTAGAGGGATGGAGGATGGAGGGATGGGTGATGGGATGGAGGGTGATAGAGGGGTGGGGGAATGGAGGGATGGATGGATGGGTGGAGGGATGGAGGGATTGATGGAAGGATGGAGGGATTGATGGGTGGTGGGATGGAGGGATGGATAGAGGGGTGGAGGGATGGAGGTATTGATGGGGGATGGATGGAGGGATGGAGAGATGGGTGGAAGAATGTGTAGTGGGATGGAGGGATGGATGGAGGGATTGATGGAGGGATGGGTGAAGGGATGGAGGGGTGGAGGGATGGGTAGTGGGCTGGTGGGATGGATGGAGGGATGGATAGAGGGATGGAGGGATGGATAGAGGGATGGAGGGATGGGTGGTGGGATGGAGGGATGGGTGGAGGGATGGAGGGATGGATGGAGGGATGGAGGGATGGATGGAGGGATGTATAGAGGAGTGGAGGGAGGGGTTGATGGATGGAGAGATGGAGGGAGGGATGAATAGAGAAGTGGAGGGATGGATGGAGGGCTGGGTGGAGAGATGGATAGAGAGATGGAGGGCTGGGTGGAGGGATGAATAGAGAGATGGAGGGATGGGTGGAGAGATGGATAGAGAGATGGGTGGAGGGATGGATAGATGGATGAACGGATGGGTGGAGGAATGGATGGAGGGATGAAGGGATGGGTGGAGGGATGGAGGAATGGATGGAGAGATGGATGAAGGGATGGAGGGATGGGTGGAGGCCTGAAGGGATGAATAGAGGGATGGATGGGTGGAGGAATGGGTGAAGGGATGGGTAGAGGGATGGATGAAGGAGGGATGGGTGGAGGGATGGAGTGATGGTTGGAGGGATAGATGGATGGATGGAGGGATGAAGGGATGAATAGAGGGATGGATGGGTGGAGGAATGGGTGGAGGCATCGGTAGAGAGATGGATGAAGGATGGATGGGTGGAGGGATGGAATGGAGGGATGGATGGAGGGATGAAGGGATGAATAGAGGGATGGATGGATGGGTAGAGGGATGGATGAAGGATGGATGATGGGTGGAGGGATGGATGGAGCAATGGGTGGAAGGATTGAAGGACGGGTGGAGGGATGGATAGAGGGTTGGAGGTAGGGGTTGAGGGATAGAGGGATGGAGGGATGGAAGGAGGGATGAATAGAGGGGTGGAGGGATGGATGGAGGGATGGATGGAGGGACCGATAGAGGAGTGGATAGCGGGATGGGAGGATGGATGGGTGGAGGGATAGAGGGATGGATGGAGGAATGGATAGAGGGATGTGTTGAAGGATGGAGGGATGGAGGGATGGGTGGAGGGATGGATAGAAGGATGGAGGGATGGATAGATGGGTGGTTGGATGGATGGAGGGATGGGATGGATGGAGGGATGGGATGGAGGGAATGAAGGATGGGTGGAGGGATGGATGGAGCGATGGAGGGATGGATAGAGGGATGTGTTGAGGGATGGATGGATGGATGGGTGGAGAGATGGAGGGAGGGATGGACGGACGGATGGGTGCACCGATGGAAGTGCGTGCACCATGCCAGCTTCTCTCTAAGCCTTCATCTACCAATGGCGGAACGAGGGGTCTGAGTGGCAGGCTCGGCGCGGATTCAGTGTCGTTTTGCGGCCAGGGCCTCGGGTGCCTGACAGTGGCCGATCGGGCGCGCCGCGGCGGCGGGGGGCTGCGCGCTCGGCCGGGGCGGACGCGGCGGGGCCGGGGCCTGGTCCGCAGCGGGCGGAGTAGGGGGGGAGCGGGCGACGCAGCCTCGGGGGCCGGGGCCCGGGGTCTGGGCGACCGGGGCGGGGAGGGGGCCCGGTCCGCGGCGCGGCGCAGCCCGGGGCCCCCGCGGGGCCGGGCGGGGGCGGCGGCCGGGGCGGGGCCGGCGGGAGCCGGGGGCGGGCCCGGCGCGGATTGGCCGGGCGCCGCCGCGTGACCGGCCCCTTATAGGGCGTGGCGCGGGGCCGCTCGGTCGGGTGCGGCGGCGGCGGCCGGGCCGGGCGAGGTCCGCTGCGTCCCCGGCGTCCGGCGGCGGCTCCGCTCCGAGCCCCGGGCGCGCGGCGCGCCGTCCCTGCCGGGGCCTCGGGCCGGGGCCTCGGGGCGCCCGGGCGCCATGGTCCGCTTCGGGGACGAGCTGGGCGGCCGCTATGGGGGCGCGGGCGGCGCGGAGCGCGCGCGGGGCGGCGGGCCGGGCGGGCCGGGCGGGCCGGGCCCCGGGGCGCTGCCGCCGGGCCAGCGCGTCCTCTACAAGCAGTCCATCGCGCAGCGCGCGCGCACCATGGCGCTCTACAACCCCATCCCGGTCAAGCAGAACTGCTTCACCGTCAACCGCTCGCTCTTCGTCTTCAGCGAGGACAACGTCGTCCGCAAATACGCCAAGCGCATCACCGAGTGGCCATATCCTGCCGGGCGGGGCGGGGCGGGGCGGGGCGGGGCGGCGCGGCCGGGGCCATCTTCCCGCGGGGAGGGGCCCGCGGGGTGCGGGTGTGCCGCCGCGCGTGAGCGCCCGTGCGCGCGGCCGCGGGGCCCCCTCGCTCGCTCGACGTCGGCGTGCGGGGCGCGCGGGGTGCGGGGCGCGCGGGGTGCGGGGCGCGCGGGGTGCGGGGCGCGCGGGGTGCGGGGCGCGCGGGGTGCGGGGCGCGCGGGGTGCGGGGCGCGCGGGGGGTGCGGGGCGCGCGGGGGGTGCGGGGTGCGGGGCGCTGGGTGCGGGGCGCGCGGGGGGCGCGGGGTGCGGGGCGCTGGGTGCGGGGCGCGCGGGGGGGCGCGGGGTGCGGGGCGCGCGGGGGGCGCGCGGGGTGCGGGGCGCGCGCGGGGCGCGGGGCGTGCGGTGCGCGGGGGCGCGCGGGGCGCCGGCGGGGTCTGCTCGGCGGGGCGCCGGCGGCCCGTGGGGCCCTGCGCGTGTGTGCGGGGCGGCGGGGGGGGGGGGGGAGCGCGGGTGCTGCGTGGCCGGACGGCCTGTGCGCCTGGGCGAAGGCCTCGGCCGGGTCCGGCTCGGGTCCCGCGGCCGGTGAAGCAGGCGGCGCGGAGCCGGGAAGTCCTCAGCCCTGGGGGCCAGCCGCTGTGGCTGACCTGTCCTTAACCCGCACACTCCCTTCGAGTACATGATCCTGGCCACCATCATTGCCAACTGCATAGTGCTGGCCCTGGAGCAGCACCTCCCTGATGGGGACAAGACGCCCATGTCTGAGCGGCTGGTGAGTGCTCCCTGTGTGCGGCTGGTGAGTGCTCCCTGTCTGAGGGGCCGGTGAGTGCTCCCTGTCTGAGCGGCCAGTGAGTGCTCCCTGTGTGCGGCTGGTGAGTGCTCCCTGTCTGAGTGGCCAGTGAGTGCTCCCTGTCTGAGCGGCCAGTGAGTGCTCCCTGTCTGAGCGGCCAGTGAGTGCTCTCTGTCTGAGGGGGCTGGTGAGTGCTCTCTGTCTGAGGGGCCAGTGAGTGCTCTCTGTCTGAGGGGGCTGGTGAGTGCTCCCTGTCTGAGGGGCCGGTGAGTGCTCCCTGAGGGGGGGGGGCTGGTGAGTGCTCCCTGTCTGAGAGGCCGGTGAGTGCTCCCTGTCTGAGCGGCCAGTGAGTGCTCCCTGTGTGCGGCTGGTGAGTGCTCCCTGTCTGAGTGGCCAGTGAGTGCTCCCTGTCTGAGCGGCCAGTGAGTGCTCCCTGTCTGAGCAGCCAGTGAGTGCTCTCTGTCTGAGGGGGCTGGTGAGTGCTCCCTGTCTGAGGGGCTGGTGAGTGCTCTCTGAGGGGGCTGGTGAGTGCTCCCTGTCTGAGGGGCTGGTGAGTGCTCCCTGTCTGAGGGGCCGGTGAGTGCTCCCTGAGGGGGCTGGTGAGTGCTCCCTGTCTGAGGGGCCGGTGAGTGCTCCCTGTCTGAGGGGCCAGTGAGTGCTCTCTGTCTGAGGGGGCTGGTGAGTGCTCCCTGTCTGAGGGGCCAGTGAGTGCTCTCTGTCTGAGGGGGCCGGTGAGTGCTCCCTGTCTGAGGGGCTGGTGAGTGCTCCCTGTCTGAGTGGTTGGTGTGTGCTCTCTGTCTGAGGGGCCGGTGAGTGCTCCCTGAGGGGGCTGGTGAGTGCTCCCTGTCTGAGGGGCCGGTGAGTGCTCCCTGAGGGGGCTGGTGAGTGCTCCTTGTCTGAGTGGTTGGTGAGTGCTCCCTGTCTGAGGGGCCGATGAGTGCTCCCTGTCTGAGGGGCCGGTGAGTGCTCCCTGTCAGGGGCTGGTGAGTGCTCCCTGTCTGAGGGGCCGGTGAGTGCTCCCTGTCTGAGGGGCCGATGAGTGCTCCCTGGCTGAGGGGCCGGTGTATGCTCAGCCTGGGGTGGAGTGGAAGGACAGGAACTGTGTTAAGTGGCGTGACACCCTCTTCAGCTGGGAAACAGGGCAGCACCCGGGCACAGACTCCTCCGTCAAGGACCGGTCGGCCCTGCCCACGTGTCCAGAGAGGAGGGCCCAGGCATGCTGTTCTGGCAGCTCAGGAGTCTCAGGTTTTAACCCTGAGGTGAGGAGGCACCTGATGGAGGAGGACAGTGGTGTCAGGGTTCTTGGGTGCCAGTGAGGGGCAGGCCAGCTGCCCCCTCCCGCAGGGTTGATGGCCCGGAGTCCGGGGTTGTGCCCTCTGCCTCGGGGTTGTGTTCTGGGACCTGCTCGGACCTCTTTCCCCATGGGGTCTTCCTTGAGGCGCAGTCCCCTTACATATTCTGAATCACGACTGCCTGCAGCCTCCTGCGAAGAGCTCCCCAGACCTCTGTGGGGCCTGCCCTTAATCACAGAACCTACGAGTCAGCACCAGGCGAGGTCTGTGGGAGGCTCTGGGTCCTCAGCGTCCAGAGGTGGAGTGAGAGGCAGGGCAGGGCTTCCGGGCCCAGGCCCCTCACAGGGAGGTCATGGCACACAGCCCACAGCTCTTCCCTGCTGCCTTTTTTCTTAGGGTCCATGTAGGCTGGATGTGGGGTGAGAGATTGTGGGGTCTCAGAGTCCACAGAAAGAGAAGCTAGAAGAGGGGTTGTGGAGGGGCCTGAGGACCCCGTAGATGCGGCATGAGACTTGTTCCGTGGCTCTCTGGTTATGGCTTCCCATGCTTCTGTTCAGAGAAGGATGTGCAGGATAGGTCTGTGGATGGCTTAGCTGGGCCCACACCCAGATACATTGTGGTTTTGCCTCTCCTCCCACCCAGCTGTCCATAGGGGACAGGGCAGGGGAGGTGCCATGATTGGGAGAAGGCAGGTGAGTGGACATCCAAGGTGAGAAGCTTCCAGAGGGTCCTGGAAGGCAGGAGGCTTGGGTGTTAGGGGTGGGGTGAGACTAGCCACAGGGAGTGAGGCTTGACAGGTCCCTCCTCCCTGACTTCAGGCTTCTGCCGGTGGTGTACCTGTTCTTTGTGGTAAGCATTCACTCCAGAGACCAGGTGAACCTTTATCTAGGAAGCTTCGGATTCCAGACTATAGGATGTGGTTATATCTGGCCGGCAGGGCAGGGGGACTCGGGTCAGCGCAGGGGCTCCGGTGTGAGTGGCGTTCGCGTGTTCTCCCGTGGGTCATCTGAGGTCCAGCCGTGTGAGCTCTGCCCCTCACGTTTTTTCCTCTCAGGTTTGCTCTGTGGTGGAAGTAGAAGGGACATTCCCAGGGCTGGAGGTTTAAACGGTTGGGAGACAAATAGAATTTGCTTGGCCCTGCCCAGTCTGGAGATCTGAGAAGCCATTTGCTGACCGTAGTCCTACCACGCGGGCTGCCAGGGTAGACGAGGGCTGCAGCCTGAGAGACAGGCTGGAGGCGCTGCCCAGGGGGCCCCGTGGCAAGGGCTCCCACTATTGGCCAGCAAGCATTGGCAAGGCCCTCTTGGCTCCCTGTCTCTGGGGGCTCTGTTCACCTGCCCCCTACTTTCATAGCTGCAGTCCAGCACCCCCCAAGCTACTGGCTGTCTGCACATTCAGCCTGACCAGCACTGAGTGACATACTCATTCAGGATGTGGCTTGGGCGCTGGACAGAGAGGTCTAGTGTGGGGCTTCCTTCCCAGGGACTGGACTCTTCCCTCATCTTTTCTTTTCTGTCTGCTTAATGAGAAGATTTCCCCCACCCCACCCAGGACAGAGGATCAGAGTCTTACCTTTGGAGAGAAGAGACCCTTCCAGGGGTAGTACTGCAAGAGTGTAGCCAAGAAGAGACCTTTGTCCCTGCAGAGTTCTCCTCCCTGTGACCCTGGAGAGTCCTCCTCCTCCTCCCTGTGACCCCGCAGAGTCCTCCTCCTCCTCCCTGTGACCCCGCAGAATCCTCCTCCTCCCTGTGACCCCGCAGAGTCCTCCTCCTCCTCCCTGTGACCCCGCAGAGTCCTCCTCCTCCCTGTGACCCCGCAGAGTCCTCCTCCTCCTCCCTGTGACCCCGCAGAATCCTCCTCCTCCCTGTGACCCCGCAGAGTCCTCCTCCTCCTCCCTGTGACCCCGCAGAGTCCTCCTCCTCCCTGTGACCCCGCAGAGTCCTCCTCCTCCCTGTGACCCCGCAGAGTCCTCCTCCCTGTGACCCCGCAGAGTCCTCCTCCTCCCTGTGACCCCGCAGAGTCCTCCTCCTCCTCCCTGTGACCCTGCAGAGTCCTCCTCCTCCCTGTGACCCTCAGAGTCCTCTTCCTCCTCCCTGTGACCCCGCAGAGTCCTCCTCCTCCCTGTGACCCCGCAGAGTCCTCCTCCTCCTCCCTGTGAACCTCAGAGTCCTCTTCCTCCTCCCTGTGACCCCACAGAGTCCTCCTCCTCCTCCCTGTGACCTGCAGAGTCCTCCTCCTCCCTGTGACCCTGCAGAGTCCTCCTCCTCCCTGTGACCCCGCAGAGTCCTCCTCCTCCTCCCTGTGACCCCGCAGAGTCCTCCTCCTCCCTGTGACCCCGCAGAGTCCTCCTCCTCCCTGTGACCCCGCAGAGTCCACCTCCCTGTGACCCCGCAGAGTCCTTCTCCTCCCTGTGACCCCGCAGAGTCCTCCTCCTCCTCCCTGTGACCCCGCAGAGTCCTCCTCCTCCCTGTGACCCCGCAGAGTCCTCCTCCTCCCTGTGACCCTGAAGAGTCCTCCTACTCCCTGTGACCCTGCAGAGTCCTCCTCCCTGTGACCCCGCAGAGTCCTCCTCCTCCCTGTGACCCCTCAGAGTCCTCCTCCTCCCTGTGACCCCTCAGAGTCCTCCTCCTCCCTGTGACCCTGCAGAGTCCTCCTCCTCCCTGTGACCCCGCAGAGTCCTCCTCCTCCCTGTGACCCCGCAGAGTCCTCCTCCTCCCTGTGACCCCGCAGAGTCCTCCTCCTCCCTGTGACCCCGCAGAGTCCTCCTCCTCCCTGTGACCCCGCAGAGTCCTCCTCCTCCCTGTGACCCCGCAGAGTCCTCCTCCTCCCTGTGACCCCGCAGAGTCCTCCTCCTCCCTGTGACCCCGCAGAGTCCTCCTCCTCCCTGTGACCCCGCAGAGCTCTCCTCCAAGTCATGAGTCAGCATCAGACAGGAGCACTGGGATGTGCGGGTGCTCTGCTGTCCTGTCCCTTTGGGTGGTGGCAGCTTCAGCTGGCCACTGCTGGCAGCTGCCTGTGGCTGCTTCCCTGATGGACAAGAGAAGGAATTCTGGGCCAAGCAGCGGAGGGTGGGCAGGATTCTGGGAGAAAGGCTTGGGCTCGTGGCCCACCAGCTTGACAGGTTTGGAAACAGTGTGCACGCCAGCCCCCAGGCTAGAACGGCTTTCTGAAGGGCCATTCCTTCTGAGCGTCCACAGGCTGGAGGGCCAGCTTGCTGCGGTAGCTCTGGAAACCAGTACCTCCCCGCCACGGCCACAGGTGGATGGACAGCCGCCGCTCCAGAGGCCGGTCTCTGGGTCAGACCTGCCCTCCGCTCCTCCTCCAGGACACCCCGGCAGGTCCCGCTCCACGTCCTCCTCTGACCCCTTTCTACTTTCTACGAAGTTCCACAATGTTTTCTCAGCCCCAGAGGGCCGGCTCAGTGTGATGCCCAGAAACGCAGCAGCGATGTAACCTGGAATGGAGAGAAAAAAAAATCTTTTTAGGGTCCCATTTTTGCTTTTTTGGCCACCCTGTTTCCTCCAGCTGAAGTTCCTTTCCTCAAAATCTACCTGAGGAGACTTCTGTCCCCTTGTGGCCGTGCGTCTTGGCGGCTCCCTCAGCCCCACTGTATCTGGGTTCGAGCCTGGGTTTGCCACCGCCTCTGAGCCTCAGGTCCACCCTGCCGGGCCTCCAGCTGGGCTCTGAGTGGGTCCACAGCCGCTGTCACTCCAGCCCTAAGGGATGCGGCTTTTTGCTTCATTCAGTTGTTTTCTTTTCTAATTCCTTTTTTTGTTCTGGGGCTTGAGCTCAGGGCCGGGGCCCTGTCCCTGAGCATTTTTGCTTAAGGTGAGTGCTCTACCATTTTGAGCCATAACTCCATTTCTGGTTTTCTGGTAATAAATTGGATATAAAAGTCCTGCAAACTCTCCTGCCTAGGCTGGCTTCCAACGGCAATCCTCAGGGCTCAGCTTCAGTAGCAGTGCCCGGCTCTGTTTTTATTTCCCTACCAGAATTTGTTCTTTCTAGGTTGTCTTGAATACATAATGGGCCCTGGATGAGTCTTGGAGGTTGACGCAAGGGCCAACGCTCAGGGTCAGGCCTAGGTGTCTGATGGGTTTAGCTATGGTCTCTGCCCAGTTCTTCAATCTCCATGCCTCTGATTCTTTAGACCGAGGAAGACTGCAGAGGGTATTGAAAGGGTTTCCCTAATGAATACAAGGACTTGCTTACATATGCCTCAAGAGTATTGCCACTATCTTTATTACACCCCTTAAGGTCCACTACCAGACTAACAGCAAAGGACGCGGGTACTCTGTGAGTGGAGCAGAGTCTGAGATGCCGGGGTGGGGCTCGGCTGGGCTGCCGGTGTGGAACCTGTGCAGATGAACACAGTGGGGAGTGGTCAAGCCCTCGCGGTACAGGGGACGTGGTCCTGCCTCGGGGCAGTGGGGGTGGCCGTGGCACCAGGGCGGAGGTAACCCCTGTCTCTGCTTCTCCCCAGGATGATACGGAGCCCTATTTTATCGGGATCTTTTGCTTTGAGGCCGGCATCAAGATCATCGCTCTGGGCTTTGTGTTCCACAAGGGTTCCTACCTGCGGAATGGCTGGAACGTCATGGACTTTGTGGTGGTCCTCACTGGGTAGGTGGGCCTGGCTGGGCGCGCCGCGTGCCTGTGATCACTCCGCGGGCTGCGGAGCACATGCAGGGCCTTGGTGGGAGGGGATTCTTCCTCCCCAGGGGTGTCTGTACTGTGCTTTTTGCTCAGGCTGTTCTCAGTGGGTAAGTGTGCGGAGAGAGACTTCAGGGAGGAGGCTCTCACCTGTCCAAGATCTTGGGGAGGCACTTTAGTTTGGGGAGCTACATGAGCTGTCTTCCTGAGATCTCTGAGTAGGCCTTGCGTCTTCTGCATCTCTGTCCTGGGAGTTGCTTAGTCAGCGTGTCCGTCTACTACTTCCCACAAGTGCTTCCTCCTGCTCCTGACCAGCATGCCCCGCCTGGCAGCCCAGGCGTCCGGGAAGCCGTCCTGAGTCCTCACAAGCCTTGGCTGCGTATGGTCTGAGGGACACTTGAGGTCACAGTAGTGTGTCTGCTGTGGAGCTGGTGGAGCTGGTGCTGTGACCCAGGGTGACGCTGCTCTGACAGCCTGCTTGCCTGGCCCAGCTCCCAGGGCCCCCCGGGCTGGGGTGGCCGTCTGACCTTCTCTGGGCCTCATAGTCCCTGAAGGCTGAGAACCCAGCCTGGGGAGCGGGAGCAGCCACTGTGGGTGTGAGTGGCTCTTTCAAGGGGCAGTGTTGTGCAGAATCCATGTCTCTTGCACACTGACTGCCCCATGTGGCCTGGTACATGTGGAAGAGTTGAAGGGGAGGAGAAAGGGATTCTAGGAGCCTTGGTCTGGGGCACCAGCATAAAGAAAGTCTGGTAACAGTCTCCAGGCTCCTGAGAAAGCCCTGAGAGGGCCCGTCCCTGCCCTGCTGCCTGTGCGCAGCCTTTGAGGACCACATTTGCAAGCTTACAGAGGGAGGGAGGGTCTCTAGAACAGTCCGGGGCACGCCCAGACAGCCCCGGGGCCTTGTGCTGCTTGGTGAGTGCTTGGGAACCCCTTGTGAGTCGCTCCCTGCCCTGAGAGCGTGGCACTTAAGGAGTTCATGGAAAGCCCTCTGTGTCTCTGGGGAGGTCTGGTGCTGTTGGTGGGGAGAGCGCGAGCTTGGAGACCCAGCACTCCCCCGTTCAGGGCTGCTCCGTGGGGCATCGGGAGTCGCTGCCGCTGTTTACAGCTTTCTCTCCCTGTAGATAGATACAGGTCCCTGAGGAGAAGAGCAGTGTCTCTGTTTTTCAGGGTTTCCCCTGAGCCCAGCCTGGGGTAGGCACTTGGGGGCGGGGAATGAGTAGCTGGTGTCTGGGGCCTGCTGGACCGGCTCCTGCTGGACCGGCTCCTAGCTGCTGCCCAAGGAGCTGGCGTCACTGCCTGCACCAGCTGTATCTTCCTGTATCTTCCAGAACGCAGATTGGGTTTGGCTGAATGAGGTCCTGAGATGGGGGTAGCCGGGCTGGTCAGGAGGGGAGACTGGGAGCTGTGCTTTGGGGAGCTCCAGTGAGGATTCCCAGGCCCCGGGGGCCGTGAGCAGGAGGCAGGGCTGTGTCTCTTTTCTGCTTCTCTTGTCCCTGCCAGTGTTTTTCTTGCCCCCACTCCCACCCACCATGGTTCTCCCTCTCCTCCTGCTGTTCCCACCCCTCTTCTCACTCAGCCTCCTGAACCGTGTCTTTTCCTAGCTTCTGCTGTGTTTGCAGGAGGTCTGGTGTAGGTGTTGGTTTCACGCTCCTCTCTGCACTGCATCCTTTGAGGTGTGCTGGGTTGGAAGGGAATCTTTAGGGGGGTGGGGTCCTCTGTGTCCCTTGGGACCACGGTCACATGGGGAGTTTCTCGTGGGCTCCGCCACACACGTGGACTTGCGTGTAGGCCTGCGTGGTCTGTGGGGACTCAGGGAAGAACCCTGTCCCTCCCCTCCTGAGCTGGAGTCCCCATGGCCGTGATGTGTCCAGGACAGGGGAAGAGGTTCTCTTGTGACTTTGTTTTTAGTTAGGTTATTTAATTGGTGCTCGGAGGGCTAGGTGCACAGTGGTGAGGCAGGAAGCGCCGTGGCGTGCTAGGGTCCCCAGGGCCAGCTGGGCTTGCTCTGCGTCTGAGCCGGTGTGCAGGTGGGGAGATGCCAGAGGGGCTTTGTCCCTGCGTCTCCCCCAGAGACGCCAACGCTCAGCACCCATCATTGGCCACCTCACCCTTTTTTTTTTTATGGTCGGTTGTGGGGCTTGAACTCTGGGCCTGGGCGCTGTTCCTCAGCTCTTCGGCTCAAGGCGAGCGCTCTACCACTTGAGCTACAGCGCCACTTCCAGTTTTCTAGTGGTTTATTGGAGATAAAGAGTCTCCCGGACTTTCCTTCCTCAGACTTTCCTTCCTCAACTTTCCTGTCCAGCCTGGCTTTGAACGTGATCTTCAGACCTCAGCCTCCTGAGTAGCTACGATTACTGGCGTGAGCCACTGGCGCCCTGCTTTACCTCACCCTTTTCTCAGAACCAGTGGTTGGGGGGTACAGAGGCTACCCTTGGCTTTGCCTGTGCTGAGCACCTGTTGCCCTGGGGATGTGGGTGGGGTCTGGGAGAGATACCAGAGCCCCAGTCCAGCCTGCCACTGGGGACCCAGACCTTGTGTGAGATTTCGGCAGCTTCTCCAAACACTAGCAGTGTGGTGGAGGGGTGGGGTCCTCGGCCCCTGGGGTGGGTGGAGGGTGGAGGGGTGTGGGCCTGGGCCCCTGGGGTGGGTGGAGGGGTGGAGGCGTGTGGGCCTGGACCCCTGGGGTGGGTTCGAGAGGTGTGGGCCTGGGACCCTGGGGTGGGTGGAGGGCAGTGGGCCTGGGCTCCTGGGATGGATGGAAGGGTGGAGGGGTGTAGATGGGTGGAGGAGTGTGGGCCTGGGCCCCTGGGGTGGGTGGAGGGGTGGAGGGGTGGGGAGGTGTGGGCCTGGGCCCCTGGGATGGATGGAAGGGTGGAGGGCTGTGGGCCTGGGCCCCTGGGATGGATGGAAGGGTGGAGGGGTGTAGATGGGTGGAGGGGTGTGGGTGGGTGGAGGAGTGTGGGCCTGGGCCCCTGGGGTGGGTGGAAGGGTGGAGGGGTGGGGAGGTGTGGGTGGGTGGAGGGGGGTGGGCCTGGGCCCCTGGGGAGGGTGGAGGGGTGGAGGGGTGTAGATGGGTGGAGGGGTGTGGGCCTGGGCCCCTGGGGAGGGTGGAAGGGTGGAGGGGTGGGGAGGTGTGGGCCTGGGCCCCTGGGATGGATGGAAGGGTGGAGGGCTGTGGGCCTGGGCCCCTGGGATGGATGGAAGGGTGGAGGGGTGTAGATGGGTGGAGGGGGGGTGGGCCTGGGCCCCGGACAGGTGGCTGGGAGCTGGGTCTCTCCCTTGTAACCCCTGTTTCCTGATGAGCCAGCAGGGAAGTGACACAGATGTATGTCCCTTGGTGGGTAGTGAGGCGCCGCTCAGGCCCTGCTGCCCCTCCCCCTCACTATCTAGTCTATGCAGCGTCTGCGTGGAGTGGATGTACCGCCATCGGAGAGTTTGGCCTGGGACCAGGACCCCAGCACTTCCTCTCCCAGGAAAACTCTGCTATGTGGGGGGTAAACTGAGATCCAGAAGTTCCGTTGAGCCTAATCTGGAGGAAGTAGGAGGAGAGCTGCTGTCCTGGTTTAGACGGGGTCATCTGTCCTGCTGTCCTTTGCCCATCCTTCTGTACAAGAACTCTCTGCCCTGTCCGCTTCCTGTCTGTCTGCTCCCCAGTTCACTTCTCTGCCCTGTCCGCTTCCTGTCTGTCTGCTCCCCTGCACACTTCTCTGTCGGCCACCTGAGCTGCTGTTCTGCTGATGCTCGCGCCATCGTTCCGTTAATAACTCACGTTCCGTGTCTGCCCAGCCCCTGCCTGTGAGGGTGAGCAGCTGCTTCAGTCTATTTCTTCTTGGCACAGTCAGCTTCTGATACCTGGACAGGCATGCTGCGTGATGTGTGTCCCCACCTCCTAACCCTAACCCTGTTCGACTGTGAATCTAGGGCAGGTGCGCCTCACAGCTGGGTTTGTTGTCTTGGTAGACACATAATAAAACCATTCAGCCTATGAAAAAGTGAGCGATTGCCTGTGGTGAGGGAAGCCAGGGAGGCCTTGGCTTCAGGGGCCTGCAGGCTTGAGGGCAAGCCCTGCTCCCTGGGAAGAGCGGTAGCCACAGTGCTGGCTAAGGGTGTGGGTGTGAAGGGCTGGGGAGATGGAGAGACCCCCAGGTTTCTGGAGCTGTGGCTCTGTTGCACAGAGCTGAGGCCCCGTGGAGGTGAAGGGAAGGTGACGTACCCTGGGCGGGCTGGGTGTGGGAGTGGGGGCCTTTGGACACACTGGCTTCTGACTGCCCGCCAGGAGGTGGTAGTAAGGTGGGGAGGAGTAGGCATGCTGGAGGGGAGATCAAGGCTCACAGTGTTTGGTAGGTTTGGGGTTTACTGCCTGCTTAGGCATGGACAGGCATGCCCCAGAGAGGCAGCCAGAGGGACCAGCACTGGAGCTCTGTCTGTGAGTGTGCCTAGGGCCCCAGGTAGTACAGGTCTGTATATCTGCAGCAGGTGTCTGGAGGACATACCTAGGTATAGCCGGGTAGACAGGCTGCAGTACTTCTAGACTGTATCTTCTCGCACTGAATTTGTAGGCAAGTAAATAAGGTGTAGTATGTGAAGATGAGCTGGGTGATTCAGTAGTTAGGAATGAGAAGACGTAGGAGACACACAGGAGAAACAAGAACATAGGAGAGACGAGAATGAGATGGAGGAGACAAAGTGGAGCAGAGCGAGGAGCAGATGACAGGGGAGGCGAGGCTGACTGAGTGAGTGGGTTTCCCTGTGTCTCCCTGCTGCCCGCCCCTCTGCTCAGCCCCTTGCCCTGTACCCTGGGGGGGGGTTCCGGGGAACCCGTCCTTCTCCTGTTCAGACCCTTGTGGAGGCTTTACCCTTCAGGGATCAGGAGCACGCTGTCTACCTGTGGGACACAGGGTGGTTCTGGTGGTGTGTCCTTCCACCGGGGCCAGAGATGTCCCTACATTTAGCCACGGTGAGGAGCTGGG